GGCGACTCTCACTCGCGCTGAGGGCTCAGTGGCAGCGTTTGCAAAGACAGTCGTCTTCTGTGCAGTTTGCTTTTTCTCTGTGCTGAAAATACAGCGAATGGTTCCATTTTTCGTTTCACTTATGATGGTAAATGACACGTTGTCCAGAACGCAGGGACGAGGACACCCGTGACGCGGTGATGTGGTGGCGGGTCGGCTGGGAAAACAGCAGGGGCTGGTTGCGTGGGGATCTGGCGCTGCCTCCTGCACGCTGTGCCCTGCGGCCTGCAGCCCCTTCCCTCCCTCGTGTGCGCTTCCATTTGTCTCTGCTAACCGGAGGCTGAGACAGACCCTTCTCCTCCCCCTTTCCTCCCCTCCCCCTCCCAGTCCCCTCCCTCCTTCCTCCACTCGTCCTTGCCCCTTCCCTCCCCCGCTCTCTGCCCTGCCGCTGGTGTCTGCCCCCCTCCTGCACCCCCTTCCTTCCCTCTCTCCTTTCCTCCCCTTCCTTCCTTTCTTGTCCTCCCCCTCCCCGCGACACTTGGGGTCCCTGTCCAGGCCGCCTCAGTGAGGATGTCCCTGCTTGTGTGCCTCATAAAATCCAAGACCTTCGAGCGTTCTCGCTGTCCTCCATCCAGTTCCCTGTTTTAAAATATCATTTTATCAATGAAAGGAACCAAAATCTGATCTTTCCCCGGGGTTAATAAAAATTCACAAGGCTGCTATAGTTACAGAAAGCACAGCCCCTGCCCATAGAGCCCTCACTGCAAACCAGAAACGGAGCTCAGAGTGTGGCTGAGGAGCTTTGCCTGCACCCTGCTGTAATTTCAAGCTTTTTGCGTCTGAGGGAAAATTCTCCCCAATCTAAACAACGGCCTCAAGGGCCAGCCAAATAGCTCAGCAGATTGAAAGGCCTGCAAGCAGGTGCAGGGGCCAGCTCCGCCCCTGGGGCACCCTGAGACAGCAATTGAGACAGAGTGTGGTGGGACATCCCTGTAATCCCAGCTTTTGGGAGGCTGTAAACAGACAGATCACTAGGAGTCTGATCTAGTAGTGAGGCCCTGAACACCCTGTAGACCCTTCCCTAAAATACAAAAAATAAAATAAAATAAACAATGGCCCGAAGGGAGCAGGCAGGAAGAGCAGGCTGCAAGGGGACCTTGAGCTGAGTTCTGTTGTCCCTTCCCCTGTGGGCCCTGTGCTCAGTATGCAGCTCCTCTGCTCTGGGGCCACGTCCCCTGGTGGCTGGGTCTCAGTGTCCCTGCGGGCTGGGGTGCTGGGCATGACAGTGGCAGGTGTGGGCTGTGAGTGTCCTGGGTCCCAGCCCCAGCACCTAGACTTCTGGGTGACTTAGGTTCTCTTAAACATAAAAAGGCAGGGCCAGAGCTCCGTGCAAAGGCCCTGGGGTCAATCCAAGTCTCTCTCTCTCTCTCTCTCTCTCTCTCTCACACACACACACACACACACGCACACACACACACACTAGCACACACATGCAGAGGCACAGCCCTTCTCAGACCAGCTGACGGCAGACGCCCACTTCCACCCTCCCCTCCCCTCCCCAGGGCCCCCATCTCCTTCCCTAGTGCTTCAGGGCTGCTGGGGAGAGCATGCTGCAGGCCAGGCTGCTGTCACTGTCTGGTGGCCCAGAGTTCCTTGTGTTTCCCTTGCGCTGACGTATCACCCTGGTTTGTAAAATGCAGAACAGCCGCAAGTGTTTAGGAAGCGGCCAGGTACAGGCTGGTGAGCTGATGCGTCTGGATTTCAAGTGAGAGGATTAAGTTAAATAAGGATGTTCAGTAGACAGATTGTTCTGTATTTGTATTTTTGGTACCAGGAATCAAACAGGACCTTGTGTTACGAGGCAGGCACGTGTGCAGATGAGCTCTCTCCCCAGCCCCGGTACACTGGTTTTCGCTTTACTCATATCATTAAGCTTTTTTGGTAACAGTGCCACCAAACTCCCCCAGCCCTGTAACAAAGCTTTAATCAGAGCATAATAAGACTTTCAGCTGGGCGTGGTAGCGTACTTCCCAGCATTCGGGGGCTGAGGCAGGAGGATCACCACAAGTTTGAGGCCAGCCTGGCTACATCAAGAGTGCAAGGCCAGGCTAACCTACATAGCAGTCCCTGGCTCAAAAGAAAAGAAAAGAAAGAAAAAGAAAAAGAAAAAAACTCCATGGTGTCGAAGAACTTGGACTGTTCATCAAGTCATCTCATGAGCAAATTCAGACTCCGAGTCCTCCCTACTGGTAATTTCCAAAAAGATTTTCTCCACCAAACTGCTGGCCAAGGGCTTGCAATCCTCGGAGGGCCCAGATGCACAGTGAAAAGCAGCGTCTTTACCAGGAAGCAGACTGCAGCTGAGAGGGCTTCGGAAGAGAGCCTGGGTGGAGTCTGGCGCGGGTCTCGGTCACATGCCTGTCCTGACGTGTCTACTTTCTGTGCCCACCAAAATGCAGGGTGGCCAGAAGGGGCTGCTCCCGGAGCCGAGCCCAGTGCAGATCATGAAGGGTCTGAGCAATCCGGCCACGCTGCAGGCCCTGCTGCGGCCCCGGCTGTGCGGACGGGCAGCGAAGCCAGGTGAGCACAGTGCCAGTGCCAAGCCGCTCCTGTGAAGCCTTTGGGTTGGCTGCAGGCTCCTCATTTTCCAGGCCCTGTTGATACCTTGAACCGGTGATCTGAGATAACAGGACTCTGAGTACTTTGGGTAGGTGCAGGCCGCTTATGCACCCAATGCTCGCTCGCTATCTATTTATTTACTGAGACAGGGTTTCCCTGTGCAGTTCAGGCTGGCTTTGAACTCACTTTGTAACCCAGTCTGGCCTTGAACTCACAGCGATCCTCCTGCATGCTGGAACTACAGGTGTGCACCACCACACCCAGCCACATTCCCTATGTTTTAAACTGTAAATAAATGTTAAATATTTATTATATTAATAAATATAATAGCTCTTAGTTGACATGAATTTACAGAGCAGAGAATAGTTAACATACAGCACCAACCCTACCTATACCATCAAAGAATAAGTGACAGTTTTAGCAGAATTGTTGCTAAACATGCCGATGATCTCTTTCCTCCCGTCTCGTCCCATTCTTTTCTGTCGTAAGATTGTTTCACTTCCAAGCAAATGGCAAGAGCATTATTATTTTCTAAGTATCCTGTAGTTCTCTACAGTATCGGTATACGTGGAACAGCAACCTGCACGCAGGGGAATGCATGGTGTACTGGGCACTGACGTGCAGGGCAGACATGCCCGGGCTAGTGTAGCCAGCACCCCTGTCCAGCCCAGCCACCCGGGCCCCAACTCCTGGTGCAGTTGGCGTCAGCACCGCTCTGGTCACAGCTAGCTGCGTGGGGTTAACACTGGCTGCCCACCCAAGGGCTCACCTTCCCTCTGGCTGCCCCCTCAGTGCCAGTGCTGGGGTCCTGGCCACCTCTGTATGTGACCAGGTGGGCACGAATACAGCAGCTCCCAGACTGGGGTCCTGGCCGCCTCTGTCTGTGACCAGGTGGGCACGAATACAGCAGCTCCCAGACTCCCACACAGCAGCTCTTGCCCTGCTGGAGAGCAGGAACCCGGGTCCCCTCCTCTGCTCTGCATGGCTACAGGAGCTTGGCTGATGCCATAGCTGAGCCCCAGCTCCCACCCACACCCTGGTCTCTCTCCTGTCCCTTCATGGGCCAGCCCTGGGCTCCCACAAGGGGCTGCATTCACACAACAAGCAGAGGCTCCCCCTCAGAAGGCGGGACACCAGTGAAATTCTTTACGATGCAGCCTATTCACAGGAAGGGTTTCGAGTAATCATGTTATTTGTGCAGACAGTACGAAGTGACTGAGGGGTTTCTGGCTTGGCCAGCTGTGCATTCTGAGATCTCCTCTGCAGTGTCTCCTGTCCTCACCACATGGAGACCAAGCAACTCATTGTTTCCAAAAATGGCTCTTCATGGGTGTAATGGTTTTAATTTTGGCCAGGGATGAAGGTGGGCACATCGTAACAGTTCATGAGGAGAATGCACCAGTCTTCAGCGTCTGTGTGCCAAGTAACAGCGCTCGCAAATATTTAAAGCAGAAATTAGCACTGAAAGGAAAGTAGCCCGGTCTGCAGCTAGAGAGCAAGGAGGGAGCCGGCCGCCGCCGCAGTGCGGAGGAGAGACCGAACCACAGTTAGGACAGAAGGTGTTTCAATTTCAAAGCAACTTCTAAGCTTGATGCACAGTAAAAGGGGGCGTGCCTTTGACCAGTGACAGGGCCAGCGTATCGCTGAACCTCCAATACATGTGTTAAAGTTTAAGGAAATACTCCTTTTTCTTCTGGGCTGGTTAGTTTGTGATCTCAGTGTGTCTGCTTTCTCGCAGCGGTCCTTGGAGTGCCTCCTGGCCTGCCGCAGCTCCTCAGTGCCCAGGGGCCGCCCACGTTCCTACCCCTGAATAAACCACAACAGGTACGGTGGGGCCTTGGGATGTCCGAACAGGTGTCGAGAGAATGGTCCATCCATTCTGAACGCCAGGGTTCTCAAGAAGTTAGCTGAGTATTTTGCTTTTAAAGGAAGCCCTTAAGAAGTCTCCGTAGCTACATAAAATCATAACCCAGTGAGCATAGCAGATCCTGCCAAGCCATCAGAGTGGCTGGACCATGTCCTTTGAGTCCTACTTGTAAGGTAGCGGGAAGGGAAGAGGAGTGCATGGGGTGTAGTTCTGCTAGATAATAAATCAGGGCCTCAAAACAAAAGCTCTGATGTGGTTTTTACTCCAAAAATATTGATAGGGCTCAGTGAGGCCTCGGCTTAATCACCAGCACTGTAAAAATATAAACAGAAAGTCCTTTTTTTTTTTTTTTTTGGCAGAACCAGGGATTGAACTTGGGCCCTTGCGCTTGCCAGGGAAGCACTTATTCCACTGAGCCATCTCCCTGGCCCCAAAATATAAACAAATACATAATTATTCATATGAAACAAACGAGCAAAAACTAAATTATCACCATTTAACGTGTTTATGCAGATCCCTGATATTGGTAGTAAATAGTGCCCGTTTTCACACACGCTGCAAGGCCGTAAAATCTTGCCTCCTAATCAGAGCCTGGGCAGGACGGCGCTTGCGCAGCCCGCTGGCGCCTTAGGGCTGAGTCCAGCCCCTACGGGACGCGTACCCGCCCAGCCTTGCTGGCCGCTGCGGCTACAGCCTAAACAGAACGTTCCTAGTGCAGAATCGAGCGCAGGGGAAGGGGGTCCGCTTGGCTTGCACCCAGAAGAGGAGGGGGGCGGCGGGGCTCCTGTCGGCGGGGCCGCTGCGGGGTCGGGAGCACCCAGCCTCGCTCTGCCGGGGAGTGTGGCGCGCAGTCCGCCCCAGGACCCTCTTGCCCGCGTGGGCCTTCGCTCCTCTGTGTCCTCTGCCCGGGCGCCCCACCCCGCGCCCTGACTGTACTGTGTCACCTTGACCCTGGCTCGGGAGCCGCCCTCGGCACCCAGGCCAAGCCCACGCCGCTGCCCGCCCTGTCGCCCTGTCCCAGGGAGTCCCTTCGGGGCCGCGGTGTCCTGACTGAGGTCTCCCTCCCGGGGTGCGCGGCGGGGACAGGGTGCGGCCGCACGTGGCTGTCGCCGGGTGCAGGTCTGTCACCGCCGTGACTGGAGCCCGGTGGCTCTGGCAGAGGCCCGGACGGAGGGTCCGGCCAGGCGGGCCAGGGTCGCCGGCCCTGAGCGCCTTCCGATTCCGCAGAGCCCGCTCCTGCCCGGTGTGCCGCCCGGGGCCCCGGCGCAGCCGCCGCTGGCGAAGCTCGAGGGCGTCCACCCCAGCAACGTGAGTCGCGGGTCGGGCTCCTCCCGGGATCCGCGGCTGCGGGGGCGCGGGGGAGGCCGCGGGGCCCGGGCCCAGCTCGCTCTGCCCCTCTCTTGCAGAAGCCCGGCCTGCTCGGGGAGCCCCCGGCCCTGGCCCTGCAGACGGCGCTCGGGATGGGGCTGGCGCTGCCGCTGAGGACGGAGCCGGGACCCCCGGGAGAGACACCGAAAAGTAAATGGCAGATGCTTTGCGGGGGGGCCGCGTCTCTGGAGCCTCCTCTTCTGTCCGCAGAGTGGATGTGCAGTGGGGGCCCCACTTCCCGCCCCCGGGGTCAGCCGTCTGGGGCTTCGCTGGGCCAGCATGACCAGCTGGGATGGGGCGGGCTGGCTGGTCGCACCCCGCTTTATCAAAGGAGCAGCTGGCCTGTGTCCGCCTGGAGGTCACTTACTGGTCATTTTTACATCAAGTCTTCAGTTAGTGCTAGGAAAAACAAACAAAACAGCGCGTGTCTGTGTGCCTCCGAACGTGTCATGTTCGTTTTTTAGAAAGAGAGCGTGGCATTTCACTAGGATTTCTTTTCTGAATGGGACTTTTGTCTCATAAAATGTACTGTGTATTAGTGCGTGTTAGCAGTACGCACTGCTGCAGCTCCGCAGGGTGGGCGCAGCTCAGTTCCTTCCTCTGCCCTCCCTCCCTCCCTCCCTCCCTCCTTTGCCAAAGACCCATCCCAGCTCCTAGCAGCTGCCATTTATTTTGCTCCTCATTTATACTTTGAGTTTCCCATATGAGAGGAGCCGTGTGATTGTGAAGTGTGGGGGAGGGATTTATTTCACTTCTCAGAGTGCGTCCTTGTCCCACAAATGACTCGAGTTTACCCTTCTTTGCTGCCCTCCCTGCTGTGCAGCCTCCCTGCTGTAGTCCACTTTCTCCATCCCCTCCATGGCCTGCAACCCCCGCTCGCGTGTGGCCCTCCCTGGTGTGTAGCCCTCCATAGTGTGGAGTCCACTTTCTCCATCCTCTGCTGGTAGACCTGTCTGTCAACTGCTTCCAGGATCGCACTGTCAAAAATCATGCATGTGGGCATGCCCACTGCGCTGGGATGTGATGTCCTTAACTCTTTGGGGCTGAATGTGATTTTTGAAAGGTGCTTTCTAGTTGGAGCTTAGTTGCAAACGTTCTTGCAGGTGAATGTGCTCAGGGAAAGCCAGGAGCCACCAGGGCTCAAAAGCCAATTGAATATGGGCAGCACACAGACACAGCTGTCCCTCCAAGCCCCCAATGGTCACATGACCAAATAATCCATCCATTGCGACTGCTAAAATTGGCCAGGCAAAAGTGAAACCAAGGTAGAAATGTTCGTGGCATAATCGGCCTGTTCTTCCAAAAAGTTAAAATGTCCATGACTGAAAGTTTATGCAGAGCGTTTCTGTGTGTTTTGTAATAACCCATTACTGTATTAATGGTCACTTTAAGAAAATTCAGTGTCCAAATAAATAGGTCACTAGGAGAAGACCAAAGAACCACCTCTAAAAATGTAATACTAAAAATTATTTAAGAAATTTGTTTAGTAAATTTGTCAAATGTAACTGTCTCAAAATAGTGGAGTTTTTTTGTTTTTGTTTTTGTTTTTTTTGGCAGAACCAGGGATTGAATTCAGACCCTTGCACTTGCCAAGGAAGCGCTTATTCTACTGAGCCATCTCCCCAGCCCTCAAAATAGTTATCAAAATTAGATCTTTTCATTAAATTTTGACCTGTGGTTTTTTTTAAAAAAACTGGAATAGTTCCAGATTTTCCTATAGAAATTTTGATTTCTGTCAGAATTTCTTACTATTTTCTGTAAATAAAAACAAAAGCATTTACATGTATAGTGCTTAGTCACAAATGCTAAGTAAAGACAAATAAATTTAAAACCAATGCTTTGGGGCCATGGCGATAGCTCAGTGGTCTAAGTACCTGCCAGTGGGGCATGCTGAGATGGTGGACTGGGTGTGGTGGCACACACCTGTCATCCCAGCGCTTGGGAGGCTGAAAACAGGAGAGTCACTGTGAGTCTGATCTACATAGTGAGACCCTGGAGACCCTGTAGCATATACAAATAACAAAACCAGTGGTCTGCTAGTGTTCAGCAAACCACTCTCTAGTGTTGAAAATAAAAGTCCTGATTTGCATCATTCTTGGGTTTCTGGGCTTAAGTCTCCAGTTGTGGACAATTTCAAGCTCCTAAAGTGGGGACTGTGAGCTCACAGTCAGAAGAGGAGGAGAAACACACACTGCTAGGCTCTGGCCTCGTGTGATTGCGGGGATCACTGCAGCAGCCATCTAATATGGCTGAAGCCCACCTTCCCCAGGACCACCTGCCCCTCAGGGAAGACCCCATCAGCTCCTCAGGTGTACCTAAACTCCCCTCCAAACCCCGCCCCTGACAAAAGGCCATGGAAGCCTCAGCCTCCCTTTGTTCTAATCGAGAGAATCCCTCCTCTTCCCCACATTGTCTCTGTGTCCTCCAAGATAACAAAGCCCCTTTCCCTTTCTCCTTCTGTCTGCTTCTCTGCTGCACCAGGTGCTTGAAAAAAGCTTATCACAAACAGGCAGAAAGGAGACACGGAAACTGTAACTTAAAAATTGAGCTTTTAAGAAAAAGTGCAAAAAGGAAGGAAGGAAAGAAAAAAAGAAAAGAAAAAGTACAAAAAAAAGAAAAAAACAAAAAGCGCAGTTTCAGGACAGAAGTTCTCAGGCCCTTTTACTTTCCAGGGAACTCAGTCCCAAAAGAGAGAAATGCCCCAGGGCCCAAGGCCCTCCTCTCTCTGGGGGCTGCACACCCAGGAAGCCGGCCCTAAGCTGAAACCCGGTGCCCATCTCCCCTACCCTGCACAGCCAGCTGCCCCCAGCAGACCCCAAGCCCCCAGATAAAGCCCCAACCTCATGCTTCTCTCCCTCGGCAAAGCCCGCTCTCTGCTGTGCGTGCGCCTCTGAAATTCTCCCACACACCTCTTTACACCTCGTCTTGAAGGTCTCTGGTTTGTGGTGGAAGTCAGTGAACAGACCACTCACTCGGTGGGTGGGATGAGAGGAGCTCCCGCCTTCTCTTGGGGAACCTCGGCTGCTCTTCGGTGGCTCCGAGTTCAGAAGAGACAGGCGCACTCAGCTGTCACACACCGGCACAGGCCTTACCGTCAGAGCCTTCTAACACGCAAGACATTTACTTGTTTTCTTCAGATATGGACACAGACAAATCGCAATGACTGGGCATTTTTTTTTCCAAAATTTTATTGATAAACAGCAATGAGACAGTTTCAAATCAAATCGGAAGTACAGTTTCAACAAATAATACACTGCATATATTCTTCTTAGTGGTTGATTGCTGTACAAGATGCGGACTTGAGATCCTATTTACAAACACCATTAGAACAAATCATTCTATTCATTAAGAGAATGCAACTATATATCTACCCTAACCACTTTGAATACACAGATACAAAAAGGACATTCATCGGTATACCCCATGTTTTCTAAGTTCCATTATTGAATATTATAGATGTGTAAACTCAGCAAAATGTTCTAAAAGAGTCCAGTAGCCCATAATAGCATTGGGTCTTCTGTTTAACTGGCAATGTCAGAAATTATTGACCTGAGTCCCCCACAGCTCAACATAACAGCATGGCTTTACTTCCTGTATTTCGTCTTCATACTTTTCTACTGGATGGTTAAGACCAAGGTAAAGCAGGACCTGTGCAATAAGAGTTGTAGCTTTTTGGTCTGAGAAGGTCAGTGAAATCCCCTCAGGATTTATCCTGAGATCCTGTACCTCAGATTGTAGAACCTTTGTCAGTGCAGCCATGTGGATGAGTCACTGACTGGGCATTATTTATTTATTATTTTATTTTATTTTATTTGGCGGAACCGGGGATTGAACTCAGGCCCTTGTGCTTGACAGGGTCTGGGAATTTTTTAAAATGTGATACTATAAGGGGAGCACCAGGCGGGGCTGGGGAGCCGCCACATGTACATGTGCTAATTCCCCCAGACGAGTTAATTACTCGGTATTAACAACATGTGCTGCTAGCACTGAGAAATACATAACTCCCGAGGGGCTGGGGGCACCCACAAGCCCACCGATAGTGCAATAGGTAAATTACAACATTTACCCAATGGACAGAAAGTGTCCCCCCTTCGGCTGCCACCACCCTCTGGGTGAAAGAGAACGAAGAAGCAGAATTCATGCTTCTACTTAAACAAAATTTAGAACAGGCAAAGGCAGTCATGGCCCCGGAAGTCAAGCGTGGTTGGACCTGCGCTGTGATGGGGGAGTCCCAGACAGCCTCGGAGGGTGCCCTGCAGCGCACCCCAAGCCTGCGCCCTGGGTGTGCTCTGCCTGTTGAAAGCTCCCCACTGCTTTATGCCCTTCACTGCAGCCCCCACCCAGAGAGCAAGCGTGCTCAGAGGGCAGGACAGGTGCCAGGATCCTTAAGCATCCTGCAGGCTTTCCCAGCAAGTGTGTGACAAGTTTGTGAACGGAAACACACCCAATAACTCACCGCCCGACGGGCACTTCTGAAGCACACAGTTAGAATTTGCCATTAAGAAAGAGCCTGCGGAGATTATCTGAGAAGGTGCAGAAAATGAGTGCAGTGTTGTTACTGGAGGCTTTTGCTTTTTTCAAAAAAGCCTGGGCTGCAAGCAGCAGCCTCGAGTCCGCCTCGTGCCTGCATGCCAGCAGAGGACCCCATCTGACCGAGCCTGTTGCTCTTGTGGTTCCCACAGCTCTGAATCTGGTTCCAGCCCCAGCGACCCTCACCGCGGCCTTGGGCCTGTTGCCCTTCTTCCCAAGCCAGCGCAGCGTGGGACAGGCTGGCCCGGGGCTGGGGACTGCTCAGGAGAAGCACTCGGCCCCCGTGGGTGTTCCGGAAGGGAACTTCTCGGGGTCACAGCCGTGCCTGCAGAGCTTCGCCAGCCTCGCTGCAGGGGGCCTGCCAGCCGCACAGCACAGGCAACCGCAGATCCCGCCGACAGAGCCGGGTTCAGGGGTAAGGACGCAGGCCAGCCCCGAGTCACGGGCCATCTCTTGGGACCATGACTCTGGGGACCTTCTAACTCGAAGTTATCCTGGTCTAAGTTCCATAGAGCAATCTTAACTTTTTAAACTTGAAAAGTAGATAATAATACACCTAAAGTCTAGAAATATGGATTACAAGCTAGATCATAGTCCAGGAAATGATTTCTTAATAGTTTCTATGTATGCCTTAGTATTGAAGAAAACGTTGCACTCTTTGAAAAAAGTCCGTGGGCTGGGGAGATGGCTCAGTAGGGCGCTTCCCTGGCAAGAGCAAGGGAAGTGAGTTCAATCCCCAATTCCGCCAAAAGAAAAAGAAAGAAAAGAAAGAAAAACGTCCCGATTGTTATGAACATGCGTCAGACCTCTTGCAGAGGGGGGCGACCAAGGGGTGCAGGAGGTGGGGAGGAAGCAGACGTGTGGTGCACTCGCTCGCGCACCAGCTGTCCTGGGGGCGCGATGGCCACGTTCTGCAAATGTACTCATAAAAACAGAGAAAAGTGACATGCAAACAAAAATCTGTCTGTTATGCCAGATGACAGCGCTGCCAGCCTTATGCTAACCGGAATCGGGTCTCACTTTTAAAGTTTTATGATCAGAGAGTAAAATGGAAAGTGTTTCACCAGGAGAAAATAAAATACACTAGAGAATCAGACCGTGTCTCCATGTCTATCTGTTAAAGGAAGGCTGGAACCCATATGCCTTACCAGTTGGGTGAAAGGAAAGGGGTGTGATGCTCACTTTGAGAACTTTAAGTCTGCAGTCTTGTCCTCTGCACCTATAGCCGGAGCGCATCAAGCTCCACTGCTCTGCTTGGTGTTATTTTTAGGACTGGAGATGTAAGCTTTCCTTTGATGTTTGGTGGTGACAGATGATATGAAGCAAAGATCTTAATAGTAACTGTTGATGCTGTCTGGTTAGACATGAGATCTGAGGTTATTTTTTCCAGGGAAGATGAATTCTCACCGCTTTAAGTGAGAAATTGCACAAGGTACTTTTACCTCTATTTCACTTTTAAAGTTCTTTGGTTTAGAACAGTTTTTTTAAAAAAACTAATTGAAAAATAACAGGTGAGATGTGATGATTTTAATTTTTAACCAACACCCATAAATATTTAATGAGTTTGTATCATCAAAGATTGGGTTACACACAGCTTAATCACTGGGCTGGCAGTATTGGAAGTTAAGCTTCGCTCTGTCCTCCTGCATCTGTTCTTGCCTCTGCCTAAGCACTCCTTTCTTGTTCTTGCCAAACAGGCTGCCTCTAAGAATCAGACTTCACTCCTGGGAGAGCCACCTAAAGAGATCCGGCTCAGTAAAAACCCGTACCTGAACCTGGCGAGTGTGCTGCCCGGGGCGCGCCTGGCGTGTAAGTGCTGGCGGCAGCGTGGCCCGCTGCGCACGCTCAGGACGCTTTGCCTCTGCAGCCTAACAAGCACACGATGCCTGCCGCGCGGAGTGAGCCCCCGACTAGACGCCACTCATCAAGTGGAAAGAACCTAACTAAAATTAAGACTCTTGAGGGAAACACTTTAATAGCATGTTCTCAAAAATATGACAACTGAGGGGCTGGGGAGATGGCTCAGTGGAATAAGTGCAAGCACAAGAGCCTGAGTTCAACCCCCAGTTCCACCAAAAAAAAAAAAAAAAAGACAACTTTATTGAATTTTTATTGAATCATGATGGTCAATAATGGACTCATTTGGCATTAGCATAATTCTTGCATACAGAATCACTTTCCTAAATCAGAGATAAATTATTCTATGTCATCTAAGATATCCAGAGCACTTGGGCTCCCTGAAATACCTGACTACTAGCCACCAGAGCTAGAACTGTCACACTTTCTGCAGACCCCAGCCCCAGGCCTTTGAGTAGTATAAGTAGTTAAGTATTTATTTGCTCAAATACATTTAATTTTTTAGAATCACAAATGTAGTGTGCCGTAGATACAGTGAGTGGAGCCGCAGCATTTGTTGAGTAGTGAAAAACTGCATACCATTTTGATCTTTATCCCGAGGGGAACAGCTAAAGAGATGCCTCGCCATAGATGGAGCACTGTGACTTTTTCTAAATAAGGTCTATATTTCAATTATTAAGAAGTTGCACGGTATTCTATTTTAGGATGATTTATGAAGTCTGTAGTGCATATTTTTCAGTGGAAAACATATGTACACAATGACACCATTTGCATTTACTTGACATTGCATATTTTTACATGTACATGTTTCACTATGTAAATACTTAAAGTCAGGGCCGGGGAGATGGCTCCGTAGAATAAGCACTTCCCTGGCAAGTGCAAGGGCCTGAGTTCAATTCCCAGTTTCGCCAAAATAAATAAATAAATACTTAAAAGTCTGAGAACAGAAGCTCTGAACTGTTAAAGAATAGGGAACACAGGTAAAAAGAGATTAAAGATGAATTTCATTTTTAATGAACATCTTCTGTACTTAGAAGTATCATCTTGAACCCAAACATTAATTTGTATTTTTAAAAGCCAGAAAAAATTAAGTGTGCTTTTAATATAATACTATATGTTGATCTGCTCTCAAAATGGATGCTGACAACTATTACATTAGCGAGAATGTGTAATTTATATTTTGTCAGCCTTTTTATAGAGATTAGATGTATTTGGAAAGCTTCCACAGGCTGGCCAGAGAGCTCAGCAGATTAAAGCGCCTGCTTAGGCAGAGCACAGCGGCCAGAGTTCAATCCCTGGTGGGCTATGCTGGCCCGCCCCTGGGTGTGCTGAGATGGTGAATGAGACTGGGTATGGTGGCCTGCACCTGTAATCCCAGCACTTGGGAGGCTGAAAACAGGAAGATCACTACAAGTCTGATCTACATACATAGTGAGACCCTGTAGACCCTGTCCTAAATACATTTTTTAAAAAAGTTTCCACAACAATTTTATCCAAAGAGTAAGCTTCCATAGCTTTGTTTTCCCAAATGAACACAGCAGTGCCAGTGATACAGCTCAGCAGCACAGCGCCTGCCTGGCAAGTGCAAGGTCCTGAGTTTGATTCCTGATATTAAAAAAAAAAAAAAAATGTAAAAAATCCAAATGAATGAAACATCATCATGTGCTATATGCTGGTAATCCGAAGCTGGAGTGAGTCTCGTGTTGTGTTGGTAGTCAAGTAACCTGGATCACTGATTTTTTGTCCCCAGCTGCTGTGGGCCATGCCACCCTGCAGAAGCCCGGCCTGGCCAGCACTGTCCTGGACACCATCGCACAGGGCAACGCCGCACAGTGTGTGCTGGACAACTGTGTCACCTACTCGCCGCCTTTTGGGGATTCTGCCCAGGTAAGTGGTTCTCGGGCTCTGAGGATTTTTAGGAAAGCTGGCTCAGCTGTGCGCGGGGTACTTTGAACAAGATGGCAACTGCTGTGGTATTCTCATAGGAACCTGATGGCGCTTCGTAAGTAAAGCTTTATTAGAGCACAGCACCCATTGCTGTGCCTGTTCCCACACTGCGGCCAGGCTCCACTCGTCAGCGCCATAACCAAGACTTGTGTGACCCACAAGGTTTTGCATCTGACCCCACAGAGCAGCTCTGCTGGCCTCGGGCTCACAGAGCACAGCCTGGGTCCTAACGAGAGGCCTGGCCGCCATCATGTGAGTGGAGCACGTGGGTGACCGCGCTCCATGGCGCTGCTGGGATGGCTTTGAAGCCCCCAGCCCAAGAGCACCACTCACCCTCAGGATCCAGGGGCTTGCTCAGGAACCAGAGTCTGCAGACAGGCAGGGCCAGTGCACAGTGTGCGGCTCCGCACGCATCCTGCATGCACACCTGCCGTGGGGCTTGCATCCCGGACTGCACTGCCTCTGCGCAAACGTCACCGGGGAGAAGGTGCCACACCGCGCGGCCTCGGCACCAATGCCAGCAGATCACTGTGCACGCTTGGGGCAGGCGCGTCTGCTTTCACACATTTGCAGTCTTGAGTCGGATGGGCTAGGACGCTGCGGTCTGGGCCAGGTCGCATGGGGCAGTCGTGTATTGGGTTCATGGTGGCCCTTTCTCCTTCAGCCCTTACTAGTGGCTTTGGACCAGGATCTGTGTCACCATGTTAGCAGGGTGTGGCTGTGTGGTCACCATGGTCCTGCGGGAGCATTTCTGGTGGCCTTCCAGGAAGCAGCTTCTGAGGCCCTCTCACAGTGCCTGCCTGCCCCAAAGTGCCCAGCACACTGAGAAATGTAGCCCCGCCTGAGTTCACGGAGAGTTGCTGCCCGAGTTCGCCCGTACAATACAGTGCCAGCGGTACAGCTCTAATTTCACAGAAATGGTGAAGCTGGGGACGCGTGAACTGAAAGGCCCGGGCAGGCGGGCGGGCGGGCGGGCGGACAGGCCTGGCCAAGGTGGGGATTTGGGCTGGCAGAGTGGAGACTGGGCTGCAGAACTTGTAGAGCTGAGGTCACAGCAGCACCACATGGGCCTCCACACCTCGTGAGACCCCACCCTGTGGGCTGCTCTGGAAAGGAATGCCTTAGATCAGGCGTGGCTCCCTGGTCATATTTACACCGGGCAGAAGCTGAGGATATTATTATTTTTTATTTTTTGGCAGAACTGGGGGTTGAACTCAGGTCCTTGTGCTTGCCAGGCAAGCGCTTATCCTACCGAGCCATCTCCCCGGCCCTGGCTGAAGATATTATGGGAGATCTGTGAGAGCATTCACGCACAGTGTAGGGGTGCAAACACCACAAGCAGCCAGACTTCCCACAGGACTCATTACGTAGATATAATCACGTCGTGGTGCACCAGGAGAAACCGTGCAAATATCAAATTGGTGTAAAGCAGTGCGTGAGCACATGGTAAATCTTCCATAAACTATTGTTAAGTTGTAGTATTTGCCAAGTACTGTCCTACACAATTTCTATTTTTATCGTTCTTTTACAAAGAACAAAATTTACTTTTATAAAGAGCACAGGGCCAGCAAAATAGCTCAGTGGACTAAGCACCTGCCTAGGCAAGCGCAGGAACTCGGGTTCCATCCCCGGCATGACGTGTCATGTGGGCCCTGCCCCCGGCGCACTGAGCCAGCCACTGAGAGTGGGCGTGGTGGTGCACGCCTGTAATCCCAGCCCTGGGGAGGCCGAAAACAGGAGGATCACTACAAGTGTGAGCTGCATAGTGAGACCCTACACCATGTACCTAATACATTAAATAAAAAATAAGCAATAAATAAATAAGCCAATAACTTCAAGTCAGAATGAATGGACAGGAAATTTCAGCCAAGAACTATAAATTATTTTTTAAAAAACTGAATAATTCTAGAACTGCAGTGTATTGTGTCTGATATTAAAAAAAATACACTTGTGTTAATTATTGAAACTGTCCTGGGGCTGGTGAGATGGCTCAGTGGTCTAAAGCACCTACTTAGAACAAGCTTAGCACAGGGACTGCGGTTCAATCCCCCAGCACCACAAGCCAGCCAGCCCCTCCCCCAGGTGGGCTGAGTTGGCCACACACACACACACAATAAGTTTTTAAAAATTTTTAAAAAACTGTCCTACCGATTTGATTTGAAACTGTCTTGGGCTGGAGAGATGGCTCAGTGGTCTAAAGCACCTACTTGAAACAAGCTTGGCAAAGCACAGGGACTGCGGTTCGATTCCCCAGCACCACATGCCAGCCAGCCCGCCCCCTGGTGGGCTGAGCTGGCCACACACACACACAATAAATAAAAAAAAAAAAATAATAAAAAAAAAAAAAAAAGAAACTGTCTCATTGCTATTTATCAATAAAATTATGGGAAAAAATAAATAAAACATAAAAATAATACTAATCCTTATTGTTTATTAAACAGTCCCTACATGCTGAAAAAAAAAGTACACTTGAGGGCCGGAGAGATGGCTCAGTGGAATAAGCGCTTTCCTGGCAAGCGCACAGGCCTGAGTTCAATCCCCGGTTCCGCAAAAAAAAAAAAAAAAGTACACTGGATAGAGCAGAAGCTTGGAGAAAACAGGGAAGTTAAAAGACTCTGTAAACATAAAAACAGGTAAGAAGTAATTCTTGGAAAAACAGAAAAGAGATTAAAAACCAGTGAACAAATCTCAGGGACCTAAATAGAATACAATCAAAATATATGTACAGTTCATTCCAAACTCATCTTCAAACACCAAAAAGTTGGACAGCTGGACATATTTTTTCCCACGAAAAATAATGGAAAGCCAGATAATTAGCTCTGAGGCCCAAACCTGCACGTATAAATGTGCTGTTCCAGGCGCTGTTTCAGGCCTCTGTGACTCCGCAGTGGCCTCGCCCTGGGCTCTGCTGGGGTGCCGCGGCTGTCCCCTCAGCCCTGCTGCTGCTGTCAGGAGCCTTCTCCAGAGCCACGGTCATGACACCTTACACTAATAAGCGCAGAACTAAAAGCACAGAGACAAGCATTTCCGCGCACTCGCAGCACTGTAGGGTGTCTGGCAGGAGCAGCCCTGTGACGAGGGCATCGTCTGCGTCCACAGAGAGACGGACACGACTGGCGCTCGCCCGTGGAGGGTTTTTCAAGTCATATTTTAGGTTGGACTGTCGAGCAAAGATGCGAATGCTGGCAGACATTTTGCCACCTTTGCTGTTCAGGAAATGGAGCGCTCAAGCCAGGAGCTGTTCACACCAGTGTCACTGCAAGTCCAGGGAGGAGAAGACAAGTGGAACATAGAGCAAGAAAAATATCCATAGAGAGCAGGGAACAATAGGAAGCATTTCCAGAATTTGCTTCAAAACATCTACAGATGTACAAGCCACAGGCTCCCGCACAGTGGGACACACCGTGGCTGGCCACGGGAGGCCAGAGTGCTCATCTTAGAGCCCCGGGCGGAAGCACTGCGTGTGACCTCTGGTCCTGGGCAGAGGCCAGCTCAGGCCTGCAGGGAAGAGCAGACCTGCAGCAGGTGAGCAGAGCTGCTCATCCGCGCAGCAAAAAGAGCCCTGACTCGGTCCTGCACCGTGTTCTAACTCAGTTCATCCTGGTCCTCAATGTAAACTCCAAGCCGTTGATGACATCAGCAAAACCTGCAGTCAGACCTCTGATTTCTTCTCCAGAAAAGCATCAGTACACTGGTGCCCGTGGTGGGAGCCGGCTTGGGCGGGACTCTGCGAAGGCCTGAGGTGGGTGCAGCATCTGCTCAAGAGCAGCGGTGGGTCCCGGCGAGCACGGCCTGGCTGTCTCCAGCCCGCCGGAGCCTGCTCTCCTTGCATCACAGTCACGAGCAGCTGGGCAGCAGGCGGCCGAGCAAGAGCGAGCAGGGGAGCTCACGCAGGCCTTCCCTTGTCCACCCCGGAGGCTGCACCACGGAGGCCAAGGCGCAGCTGCCTGCGCCAACCCACTGCTCCTCTGCAGATTCTGGGTTTGGAGAAACCTCAGTCCCGTCCTTACGCGGCCGAAGGTGCACAGGTCCGATCTGCAGGGCCACACCCAGGAAACAGGCCTCACACAGTGAATGCGGAATGTGTCTAGGCCATGGAGGCGAACCTGTGGCACAAGCATTATTTTTAAGATACAAGACGTTCCTGTGTAACGAGTTGTTCTTTCCAGACTGAAGCCTCAGCGTGCAGGTTCGGTGCAGGTTTGGGTGCAGCGTCGGCACTAGGTGGGCTTGGGCCAAGCCTCACCATTGCTGTTCTAGGCTACTGCACCGCGCAGAGGCCCAGGAAGCTGCCCTGGGCCGCAGTGCTGTGGTCCTTCACACAACCAGCTGTTTCCAGCAAACAAATCCAGAGCCGTGGGAAGAAGCAAGAGGGCCCATGTGCAGGAGGGAATAGTGCTCAACAGGTATGTCTGTAAAGAAGCCCAAGCATTGACTTACTAACCGAAGATCCTTTTGCAGGTTCTGGGCACTGAACCCCAGGCCCTTGCACGAATGAGGCAAGCATTCTGCTACTGACCTACATCGCCAATCTTCACTTTTTTTTTTTTTTTTGCAGAACCGGGGATTGAACTCAGGTCCTTAGCCCGGGGAGATGGATCAGTACAATAAGCACTTCCCTTCCAAGAACTCAGGTCCTTGTGCTTGCCAGGCAAGTGCTTATTCCACTGAACTATCTCCCCGGCTCCTTTCATTTACTTTTGAAACATATCTTACCAAATGCCCAGGTTGGCCTCAGTTTGTGATCCTCCTGCCTTTGCCTCCTGAATAGCTGGGAGTGTAGAGACAGCAACCATGCCCAGGGAGACAAATATTTAAAATGTTTCTTAAAAAATGAGAGGAAACCACATGCAAAAGACTAAGAAAGTGTGAGCAGAATGCCTTGGGAAAAAGTACATATATGCAGAAGGAAATGAGAAGAGGCAAATGGAAGCTTTGAA